TAATTAATTAAGATGTGCAAACTATTTCAGAAGTCTTGGCGAAATTATAAGTATGGGTTCAGTTTTATTTTGTTGATTTGCGGCTAGGCCGTACTCACGCTTTCTCCATCGACGTCAGCAGGCCTGATGACTGGTGATGTGTAGCTGTATGTGTTTTAAGTTATTTGAGGGACAAAACGATATTATAATTGCCAAATCTCCCAAAAAAATTGCTAAATTACGACCGAAAAGGTTTATAAGTACGAATTCTTAAATCAAAAGCTCCTATATGCAAAATTAATTATATTTTAGACACTATCATTCATGTTTATCCGCTCCTGGAGCAGAGTGTGGGCCGGATCAGCCACCAGCTCTCAATACGGATATGTAATGCTACTTCCGTCGTTCGCGCTGATGAAGATGACACGCACTATGTGCGACAGGGATGGCCGCAATCCCTTGCGTGAGGCGTGAGCGGAACGAGACCAGCCCGCCAAGGTGTGGATGCGGCAGAGCGCACGCGATGTGGCAAAGATGCACGGCGATGTGGCAAAGATGCACGGCGATGTGGCAAAGAACGATGTGGCCACGAAAAAGACACACGGCGATCCAATAGGTGCGCCGAAGAAAAGCACGGTGATCCAATATGTGCACCGTGTGAGGGAACGGCGATCCAATATGCGCGCCGTGTGAGGGAACGGTGACACGTTAGCGAGGCGGTAAAGAAAATCCAAATCGAGGATCACCGCAATCGGCACGTGTATGGCCGCCGAAATGGGAAGCGCAGCCCCACGCTGTGCGTGCGAATGCTCCGATGACACGTGGCGTTGATCCCGCTGAGAAGCCACAGACAATGCCAACGATGAATGCCACAAATGACTGCCACCTCACGTGGTGGGCAATTGCTGGCAAAAACAATGCCGGTCGCTTGGACGACTCTGCCGATACGGCTGACGCAATATACGTTAGAGCACTAAATTTACTTAATATGGGTATGATTCGCTTTAACAAATACTGTCGGATCGACACGATGCTTGCGGATTTAGGATCGACAAAAATTAATCCGAACTCGGGGACGCCTTGTGAGAAAGAGAACGGAAGTGAGGGGATCCAATGTGACCGTGGCTTGCAAAAATCCTGTTCGCGAATTTTTGTGGTCTTTTTTTAGGTCCTATCGCATATTAGCGATTTGGCAGGATCGTAACTTTAACAGCCCGGTTGTTTGAAAAATGTGGGCGATAAAACTTATCGAGTTGCCACACTGGCTCGATTCCCACAATACTCATTTAAAATGCACATCTATTAGCAGGCGAATTATATAGAACATCAACATTGACTTTGACTTAATCAGGGATAAGTTAATAAATCAGAGCTTGTTTGTTTGCTCAATCTTAGATTAACCCCCAGCCATTTCTCCGGCCGAACACAATGGGCAAACGCACACGCCACGTGTGACCGACCTAGAACTAGCTGGGGAAATTAACTTATATTGCCTGACACTTGCCCGGCTGCACATTTAAATCAATAAAGGACCTGAAGCTTTAGTAGGAGTAGAAGCTGGATTCCAGCTTTCATGTTGATGTGGTGTCATTTCGGCAAAGGATTTTCTCCGTTAGTTTGCGAGAGCCGCCTCTTAGGCCAGGCGATTTGTTAGTCCTGTCTCGAGTGCGAAAGAGCCCAGGAATTATATATAAACATATATATTATATATATATATATTTGGCAGCCAGCAGCAGCCTGTCTGCACAAGTGCCACGCTCAAAATATGATGTATCGCGTAATTAACTGACTGATTTTGTGTCTTTTTTTTTGCTTTCTTGCTTTCGTTGCTGCCCACTCGCCGGCAAGTGGCAAGTGGCCGAGGCAATCTAAATGAAAATAAATGCCCTCCATCGCCGGCTCGAATGACAAATGGGGATCTAAGCTCCAGCGTCTGGGTCTGCTTTAGCGTCTGAATCCCGAATCTGAATCTGAATCTGCGGCAGTGTCTGCTGCCTGCGTCGAGTGCCGAGGCCAGACATGTGGCTGCCCCGGCTGGCGGCCTTTAATTTCCCAGAGTGCCGCATTAAATTGCTTTAAGTGAGGGATAAGCTTTCGTCCAACTCGCTTGTCAACATCCTCATGCGAGTGCCGCGGCGCTCAGAGCCCGCATAAACGGCCCGCGAAAGTGTGCTACAATTTTATTTCGCTCCTGCCGTTTGCGGCATTCTTTTTATTATTATAGTGTGTGTGCCATGTACGTACATATGTCTGAATGTCCTGTGACTATTCCAACGTTTATTTAAGCACGCTCACGCTCGCCTGCCCGCTTGTTTGACTTGTTTGTGTAGCTTTTAGAAATTGTGTGTGCTTTTGTTTCATACCCTTGCCAAGGGATATGCTCGTTTCCAAGCGCAACATGCCATAACAGTCTGTCGGATATTGAACAATTCCGTGTATATAAAAGTGAAATGTTGAGATTTTTGAAAGGATAATAAATAATATAAATAAATGACATTTTTTTTCGCAATAATTGCTTTGTTTTAAGGTATTATTATTTTATTTAGAACGCAAATATTAATACAAATAGATCAATATTTTTCTGTGTCTCCAAGTCACTCAGCACTGATATGAGCTTATTTTCATATGGACAGAGCTGGGCACTTGTGAAAATTTGCAAGGACTATTCAGTGGCCAACAATCATCCAGTATCCGTTCCCGATTGTTTCTGCCTGTTTGGTTTTCCCCACTTGGACCAGCTTTGGGCAGAGAGCAGGGCAAATAGCTGCAAAGGGAGTTACCAACTGAGGACGAAGTGCCCAGACCAGCTCTCTCCGCAGGCTGTTGCATTACGCATAAAGTGCATGATTTCATATTTATTTGTTGTTACCCGGCCCCCAGTTTGCTCGACTCTGGCGAATTGGTTTTGTTTTCATTGCTGCGGTTTTTCCTTTGACAGCGGTTTATGGTTGCGAATTTCTTGTCTCTGCCAATTCAAAATGATTTTTATGGGGTTTCTGTCAGACGCGTCTCTTATGCTAACAGAAAAAAAAAACCAAAAATGGGAGCAGTTGGGAGCCCCGCTAGCTGCTGGGCACTCCGATAGCCCGAAGGTTATTTCCCATAATAGGAAAACTTTCTCGATAGGGACTGCGTAAAATTGAACTAAAACTTTTGCAGAAAATGTCGTCCGTTGCCAATCCCTCAAAACATATATAATTTTACAGCTCCTTTGGATGAGTAACTTTGGAGGTGGAAAATGAAATGACACTACATCATCTTGCCCTAAATGGATATGTCAGGTTTAGAAATTATTTCTTAATTTCTTGAATGATTCTGATCTCTTCAGAACGTTTTTTTTTAAGCCATTTAAGTGTCTGAAGCATTAAAATTAGTTTAAGCAAACATATAGAACATTAAAATCATCTAATTTAAGAATGCAGTTAAGTTAATATATACAAATATTTAAGGATTGCATAATATATTATTATATACAAAAGCAAAATCCAAAAAAAATAAATTTATTTCTCATATTTGACACAGATTTTGGGAAACAGATCTTCGCACCGTTCGCAAGACGAATCGTTCGACAATGCGGCATCCACGTTCGAGGAGTAGCATGGCCGGAGGAGGAACCATGCGGGGTTTGGACAAGCTTGGCGGGTGAGTGGGAAGAGGAGCTCTTCTGAGACCGACCGCCCCTGAACCGATTCTCATATTTCCCCATATCCTTTACAATTCCGTTTTTGTTGAATAATTGAGCCCGAGCGTGTGTGTCTCTGTGTGTGTGGCCCCCAATCTCATTGCCATTCACATTCTCATGGACACGTCCTGGGGCCAAGTCAATTTACTCTCCGCATTTGTCTGGCAAATGCTCGAGCGCAATTTGAAAAGGTAAATAATGAAGGTATTTATGTCGTCAGAGTGCGAATGTGCTGCCCACCCGCAGCCTAGTCCATAAATAAATAAAAACTGCGCTGCACCTTCTGAAAAATATTTATCGCATAATTGAAATCATTGTCAAGTATTTATGGCCTTCTTAGGCAAAAGCAGAGACCGAAAAAGCAATAGCAAATGCTTGTAAAAATATGAAAAGAAAAGCTAGGAAAAAAGTCAACCAGGAAGTTGGAACAGTCCCAAGTAGCTGGAGTTATGTAGTAGCTTCAGAAAATCCGCATTAAATGGCTATAAACTGTGGCATTCCATCCAAAGAATTTAAGGATTTTCCCCCGTAGGATATGTTTAAATAAAGCGAATATTTGTAAATAAATAAACTGCAACAGATGTATACATATCCGAGGTCTAATTTAGGCTGCCCAAAGGCCAAATTGAAAACGAACATTCTGTGTAAATGACTGCTAAATAAACATTTAATACCTGAAATTCGCAAATGAAAAAGAAAAAAAGAATAACTACACAATGTGATGGACATTATAACAATGCAAATTCATGCAACAAATTAACACACAACTGCAAGCTTTTTAATTTAGCACAAAACGACGGCAACATTTGTTTACACAAAACATACAAAACCATTAATGTTTTTGGTAAAGGCCAATTTTTTTCCACAACGACGCGTCGTTGAAAGTTCATGGCACGGTTGCATAAAATTAACACTTGTTTCTATCTTTTTTTTTGTAAACCCCACAGAGGCTACCGCGGACTAGATGAGCGCGATGCCCAGATGGACAATGCCCTGGAACGGGCTCTGGCCCAGGCCGAGAATGATGCCACTTTCAAGAAGGTCAAGCGGATGAGTTACTCGAGCAACGCGGCTGGCGAGGTGAGGGGAATCCCACTTAAAAAGATTATATAGCTTTTAGAAAATGTATTTAAATATAAATAAATTTAAGAAGGGTACTTTCAGAGAGTAGCTTAATATAAGAACGTAATTCGATATCGTAATATTCATTTTATAATTTTATAAATAAATACAGAATTTGGGCCCAGAGGAAAACTTATTGTATGTCCTAAAATTATGTTTTTCAGATATCAGACGTCATTGTAAAGAAGAATTAAATATGTTCAAAGTATGAGGGTCTTTAGCTAGAGTTATTCCTTCGCCTCCTGTTGTTCCTGTTCCTGTTTCTCCTCCTCTTTGTGATCACCTTTGGCAACTTGCGGACATTCTTGAACTTCCTTTTCCTCTTTACCTTTCCAGTCGTTCCGGAGGAGGTCGTAGTGGTATCGGTTCCGCTGGCTGCTGTGGTGCTGTCACCCGCCGCAGTGGCAGCAGTGGTGGCTTCGGTGGCAGCTGGAGTGGTGGCTTCGGCTGTAGCAGCTGGCGTGGTGGTTTCGGTACACTCGGCATTGGATGCATTTGCCGTATCCGTGCAGTCGATACAAGCCGCGTCCGCAGGATCAGCGGCACAGGTTACAGCCTGGCCCAGTGGAAGGCTTGCCAGGAAGATGGTTGCCAGGAGAGCGGTGAAGATCACAGTGCACTTTCTCATCTTACTGGAGATTCGTAAAAGGGAAATGATAATCTAACGTCTACCAGATTCTAGCTTTTATAGCAATTTTCAATCATATTGATACACATTGGCAGTTTAAACAGCTGTCTAATGTGCCCTCTATCAGTTTGTTGGTTCGTATTGTCAATTAGGCGGTTTATTTGCTTTATCGGCCTATATTCTTTATTTAAATTGCCTATTGGGTCGATTTGACTTGAACAATGGATATTAGCGGGCGACGTCGTTTTTTTTTTAATTTGTAGAACACACTTTTTTAACATTTTAAGTATTTGATTGTCCTAGAAACAAAACAAACCACAGTAAACGCACTTTTTGAATTATAAGAGAAGATTTTGTTGTTGTTTTTAGGCAGTATTAAAAAAAAGTGACTGATAAATATATAAATTATTAATTCATAAATCCTAGGCGGACGAAATTTTCTTTTATTATCCTGGACAACGGGTAAGGAATTTCCGTTTGCCCTGTCCGCGGTAATGCAGTGCCTAGCAAAGGCCACGGTCAAATTCCTCGCACCCAAGAAGCCAAAAGAAATAGGCTTCTGGGGGTTTTTTCCATTTTTTTATTTTGAAGAAGTGTAAATTACGAGTTAGAATTGTCTGTTGATCAAGTATATATAACTATAGGAAGGTAAATGAGTTCTTTTGGGTTTAAGCTTACAAATTCAAAGCTTGAATTTTAAGAGTACGTGGAAGGAGCTTAGGCTCAGAATGTCTTAAGATTAAAGGAAGTGGTTTAAGGAGCCACAAAAAAAGCAAAAGGGAATGTTTGGATAGGCTGGAGCAAAAACGCTGAATTCTAATTTCTAATAATTATAAAATATTTTAGAATGGGTAATAATGGTAAATGGAAAATGGAAACAATTCTTAAAAAGGAAACAAATTGTTTACTTGTGTATTTTCCAGGATGGCGAAATCCCCTGAAATACGAAAGCCATACTAATTTTGAGAACTAACGCTGCTTCGAGAGCTTTTAAAACTCGTGTTAAAGTTTGCGATTCTTCATTTTCAATACGATAATAGGTTTTAATAATTATGGGCCCAATTGGAAATATATATATATTTTCTTTAAATTAAAACTAAAATATTTAACAGTATAAGCGATTTTCGTGTCCTGAATAAATAGCGGTTTGATGATCTCAGCAGGTTTAACCAGTAGTGCTCCTCCTCCTGTTGCTGTTCCTATTCCTATTCCTGTTGCGCCTCCTCTTTGTGATCACCTTTGGCAACTTGCGGACAGTCTTCGACTTCCTCCTCGTCTTCCTCCTTCCAGTCGTTCCGGATGAGGCCGTAGTGGTATCGGTTCCGCTGGCTGCTGTGGTGCTGTCACCCGCCGCAGTGGCAGCAGTGGTGGCTTCTTCAGCGGCAGCTGGAGTGGTGGCTTCGGCTGTAGCAGCTGGGGTGGTGGTGGCGGCAGCACACTCGGCATTGGATGAATTTGCAGTATCCGTGCAGTCGATACAGGCCGCGTCTGAAGGATCAGCTGCACAGGTTACAGCCTGGCCCATTGGAAGGCTGGCCAGGAAGATAGTCGCCAGGAGAGCGCCAAAGATCACTGTGAACTTTCCCATGTTGCTGGAGAATGCCAGAAGCAAATGATAATCTCATGTCACTCGGATCTCACTTTTATAGCGATTTTCCATCTGATCGATAACATTTTGCGAGTTTGCACAGCTGTGTGCCACGCGATTTCATCCGCTTTCATTATTTGTTGACAAATTGTTTTGAAGATTGGTTAAGTTTTGTATATATTATGCGTTGTATATTTATTATGTGTTTTATATTTATTATTATGAGGTCGAGGTGCCATTTGGAATGGGTTTTCATTTTACTGCTGTCTTTCTTCTTTCATATTCGAATCTATCTCTAAACAAGACTAATTGTTGCTTTCCTTAACTAAGCTTTTTTTTTAAATTTTCTTCTTTTATTTTTCCTGAGACCGAAACTAAATAGGTATAAATAGGTCAGCCCTTATTAAATAAATATTTATGGATACGCTCAAAATAAAATGTGAAATTTGGTTTCAATTAGTTATACATTTATTAAATTTAAATATATAATATGTAATACCAATTTAGAATCTTTCAAATATTGATATTAATAATTAAACAATATTATATAATAAAATTATTATCAGGAGACAATCAGATAAGGAGAAAAAATCAAAAACAAATAATAAACAAGAAAGAAAGCTAACTTTGGCCAGCCAAAGTTTGTATATCCTTGCAGGTAACAATTAAAATATATCATAACTAAGCCAAAAATGCATTAATTTCGATTCGGAAAGCAGTTTTGTGTCTGTTTTTATTAATTTAAAAAAACTGCATACCAATTTTAAAATTTTAAGAAATCAAAATTTTTGGCCATTTTTGCAAATTTTAATGATGTAACCCCTTATCAAATTTCGCAAAAATGACAAAAAAATCGATTTCTTCCGGACATGTCTAGAAAGATTCCCCTGTTGATGCTGATCAAGAATATATATGGTTTATGGGGTCGGAAATGATTCCTTGACTTAGAAAAATATTATTTTGTATTATAAAATCGGATTTTTTAAATTAAAAAAGTCTTGATTTTTTTAAATTAAAAATATCATAACTCGGCCAAAAGAGCATTAATTTTAAATCGGAAAACTGTTCTGTGCAAGATTTTCTACAGTTAATAAATCTGTATACTTTATTTAAAAATTTTGAAAATTCAATTTTTTTATAAAAATCAAAAATTTTAATGATGTAACCCCTTATAAAATTTTGCAAAAATGGCCAAAAAATCGATTTCTTCCAGACATATCTAGAAAGATTCCCCTGTTGATGCTGATCAAGAATATATATGGTTTATAGGGTCGAAAACGTCTCCTTCACTGCGTTGCAAACTTCTGACTGAAATTATAATACCCTGCAAGGGTATAAAAATCACATAAGTGAATTAATTTGATTTTAATAAATAATTTTTAATTCCTGACTGGTACGAATATTTCAATTGCACAATTTCAAGAATTTTATAAAAGAAAAGTTTTTCAGTAAAAAACTTTTTTGGCATAAAATTTATCTGTTTTTGAAGTTTTATTCAGTTGTTAATGTCAATATTATGAAATATACAGTCACAAAGCCCTGCAAACCGACTTGTTAAAATTCGGCTAAACATTTCAATTCGGCTTTTCTGTTACTTCAGTTTAAGCCTTCTATTCACCCCGCAATAGGTAGCACAGATTCCTGGAATAATTAATACAAATTATCCATACGGGCCCAATATGATATATGTATATTTCGTTCTTAGAAGATAATCAGTTTTTAAGAGTACAAGCGTTTTTTTTTTTTCGTGTCCTTTACAGTGGCGGTTTGATGGTCTCAGCAGGTTTAACCAGAAGTGTTCCTCCTCCTGTTGCTGTTTCTGTTGGTGTTGGTGTTGCTGTTCCTATTCCTATTCCTGTTGCGCCTCCTCCTTGTGATCACCTTTGGCAACTTGCGGACAGTCTTGGACTTCCTCTTCGTCTTCCTCCTTCCAGTCGTTCCGGATGAGGCCGTAGTGGAATCGGTTCCACTGGCTGCTGTGGTGCTGTCACCCGTTGCAGTGGCAGCAGTGGTGGCTTCTTCAGCGGCAGCTGGAGTGGTGGCTGCGTCAGTAGCAGCTGGGGTGGTGGTGGCGGCAGCACACTCGGCATTGGATGCATTTGCAGTATCCGTGCAGTCGATACAGGCCGCGTCTGAAGGATCAGCGGCACAGGTTACAGCCTGGCCCATTGGAAGGCTGGCCAGGAGGATGGTCGCCAGCAGAGCGCCAAAGATCACTGTACACTTTCTCATATTGCTGGTAGTGAAGCAGAGGGGACTGATAGTCTGTTCACTTTTGGAACTTCGCTTTTATAGCGATTTCCCACCCGATTGATACCAAATTCGCAAATGTGCTCAGCTGTTTACACATCTTTTCGCAACCCAACGGTTTGTTTGATGATGTGCCATTGTGCCTGCGATTGGGCCTAGATGAGATCAAGCAAAATATTTGGCGTGCCGTATCGGTGAATGGGTAGATGCCGTTGTTAAATTATTTTTATTGACTCAGTTGATACAACACTATCTCTGCCATCGATTTGTGAAAACTAAAAGGCCAGGCGCACTTGTTAATGTTTACCTTCTTCTGGGGCAAACAGACCGTTACTTATTTACTTTAATAAACTAGGTTCCTATTCAATTGTCCATACTTTCCTCCTTTTCGTGCACTTTAAAAAGGTTTTGGGGTCAGAAGTATCTTCAAACTGCATTTTTCATGACCCATCGACCTCGCAGGCCCTGGAGGCTGGGCGGCCGGGCGGACGTCCTCCGAAACGGCATTTAAGCTTAATTACTGGCAATTATTTGGCGGAGTTGGGACAGCAGCATAGGGTGGCCAACTGACCTCAATCATTAGTTGATAAGCCTGGCGAGTCGTACAAGAAGTGCATGGCGCCCCGGAAAAAGTGCCGCCCCCCGGGCGATGCGACAATAAAGCAAGTTGCGAGGATCATAAATCAAGGCGGCGTGCAGCGATGGCAAGGACAGCGGAAAAAGGACTCACTCAGGGACACTGCAAACGGCAAAAAGGACGCGGCGAAGCAACAACCCGGGTACACTGAGTAGTTGAAAATCATGTAAGATTTATAGTTAAGCCAGCCGAACCTGTTGGACTCGTTCTAAGGAGCCCCGCACGAAAATAAACTCCTGTCGCTTTTTATGCGCCAACTGAAAGTAGACCCACTGGGCAACATCTGTCATTTTGGAGAGGGGAAAACCTACACAGAGCTGCAGTCGTGCCTTCGACCTTGTCACTAAATCCACATCAGACTGGATTTTCGGGTGTGGCTTCCGAGCAGAAAAGACCTACTTAAGGGGTAACATGAAGCTTAAGAAAAAAATTACCACCAAATTAATAGAGCATCTTGAACCTATTTTTAATTTATAGAAAGAGTTCTGTTTTCTAAAATTCTTGTTAGCAAAATGTGCCACGTCCCTGCGCTAATTACACCTGAATTCATAATCATAGGGCCTTTTGGAAAAACTTTCTTAATTTCCTGCTTAAGCAGCAGACACGAGCGAGAAGGAGGCGCCTCAATTAAAACTCGCCGGCAAGAAGCATTCAAAAGCCAACCAAGCGTCGATTGCCACAAATCAACTTCTACATTAATTCCGTTTCCAGCAGTAGGCGGTTCTGAGAGCAGGTGGTAGTAGTGGGTTGAGGCACTCCTCCCGACGTCGCTCGAGTGCCTGCCAGACTGACATGCTCCAAATATTTCCAGAGATAGAGAGACGACGGCCACCGAATAACCAAGCCGAATGCTAAACAAACTGGCAAAGCCTACAGACGGACGGAAGGACGGACGAATGGACCTCTCCCCTGCCAGCTTGTAATCAGTTTAAAGTGAGTCCCGGCCACTAAAACTCAATTAACCCCATTTGAATGGAGCACGAGGCAATTGAAAAAACACAGAAACATGAAATGAAAACGAAAACCAAAACCAAAACGAAAACGAAAACCAAAACGAAGCGAAAAGCGTAGAGCGAGCAAATCAAGGCAAAAGATTAAAAACGGAAATGGTCGTCCATTGAGTTCGGTGGAAATGGGTGGAAATAGGGGAACGGATGCCGTTACTCTCGGTGAGGGCAAAAGCCAAGGGTTGCCAGCATTTTTCACTTAAAACCGCATTGATACTCAATTACCAGGTCGGCTCACCACACCACTCCGCTTGGATCGAGTCTCTCCACTCTCAAAAGTTGGACACAAAACAAACGGCGGATGCGGAGCCCAGGAAAACGGAAGCACTTTGCAACGGAAATGAAACATCAATTAAAGTCGCACGCCGAGTAGCTCCGAGCGGCATCGTGGCATGGCCTGACAGCCAGACAGTCAGCCTTCGACTCCGAGAATATATTGCCTTTCTTCTCCAGTGCAGCCATGGCACTTGGTTGCCTCAAGGCCTAAGGGCATATTTCGTTAGTTTTTATTGCTTAATTGTAATTTCGCATATGGGAAAACGAAAAGTTTAATTGGCTGCGCTCAAGTAGCAGTCTCAGTGCCGCTCAGAGGCGATTTATTAAGAAGGAGGGTCTGGGCGAGAAGTTTTGTTTTTGGGCCACAATTGCCAACTAATTGGGCTGAGAGATAAAATATAACCATTGTGGGTTATCAACACTGCAGTTGTTTGTTTTATTTTTCTGCGACCTAGTTTAATTAGTTTTTAAAAGTAATTGTTATTTAAGATTTTGTTGGGAAGTGGTTACCTTCTCCCTTTTCAAATAATTATAAATAATTCCCTTTAAGGTTCCTGCTGTTTATTTTTCATTATTTTCAAATAATTACAATTAAAACATATTTGTTTACTTCCTTTTCTTCGACAGCTTACCGAACGTCTGGCCAAGATTGCCGGACTCAATCGGCTGAAGGCTGATGGTGACCCTGGACAAACAACGCCGGGCAGCCTGTCTGGCAGCCGGATGAACTCGATACCCAATTCCCAGCTAAATGTGGACCTGAAGGCGTTGGACAAGCTGGTGAGCAATCTGTTGGAGCAGCACACGTCCGGAAGCAAGGCAGCTGCTTCTGGCGCGGCCTTCAATCCGGAAACGGGCACTCGCACTCCGCCCCTGCAGCGGATGGCCTCCAAGAAACTGAACCGCTGGCGTCCCCTCTCCCGCTCCGCCCACAGCTACAAGCGCGGCGAGAGCAGCGACTTGATCGGGGGCAGCTTCACCCAACTGCTGGAGCGAGTGGATCCACCAGCTACGTCCGCCCAGCATCCGCCCAATATGCCCACGATCATGGAGAGCAGTGCCGGCAGTCCGACACCAAACAATGCCCAGCAGCAGGCGGCTCATCCGCCGGCGTGGACTGCTTCCTTGGAGGCTACGCCAGGAGTGGTGCGAAATGTGCTACACCCAGGCGCCGAGGGTGAGGAGCAGCTTAATAACTATGTGGGCTAACAATATGGGTTTCCATTAAATACATAATTATGGAACAAATATTTAAACAAGAAAAGCACACATTCGTAAAAGCTACATATGTGAAATAAAGAAAATATTTCGAGAAAATTAAAATTTTTTATGGGAGTTTCAGTAACAATTAATACACATACATTTATATTTTATATATACTATATTTAAATAGAAATCTGCTGAGCTCACCTGTCTCTCCATAACGCCCGAAAGCTGATCCCGGTCGGCGTGTCGATAGTATCCCGTGAGATTGGCTCCGAGCCTCATGGTCACTTCGTATCGGGTTTTACCGCTGCGAGCCAAGTTCCGGTTAGTTTTTACGGCGGAATAACGCTGACCGGGGGGCATGGAGCCAATGCGGCTGAAGCTATCAAAGTCGCAGGCCTGGTGGCAATCGATGGAGCTGGTGTTGCTGGTGCAGCCTAAAAAGATGTCAGAGACTGTAATAATTGCTTCCCCATAAGGTCAATCTGCTGCGAGTATGTGAAATATTTCATAAAACCCGAAAATATATGTATGTATGTGTGTGTGTGGAGCATACCACACCTGTGGCAAAAGGGTGTGTGAATAGAGAGTGTCAGTCTTGCACAACCCAAAAAAAATCGCTTGGGGGACATTAGGCTGAATGCGGCAAGTATGCCAAGCATGTGTCGGGGCAAAACGTTCGGATAATCTTCCCAAATAATCTCTCCATTTCGCACTTTTATCCCAGCTCTATGCGCTCTTTTATATGCCCAGCGGGGAATATGGGCTGAGTGTCAAAATCGATGAAATTGGCATTCTTTTTTTGTCTGCAGTTCACCTTTGGCTTTGACGCCCCTGCATTTTACATGCTGACGAATTTTAACCAAGTGCTGGAAGCTTCTCTTCTATTTAACAATTTCTCTAGAGCCTTTTGGCATACAGTAAAAACTCTATGGGAGAACTCTGTTGACATAGTCTGAATTTTAATGAAAATTTAAAGCGGAGGTTTTAGAGTCTGTAAGTAAGATATAAATACATTACATTCATCTCAAATTCCCCCTTTCATTTACGTTTCCTTAACTGTAATACATTTCTTTAATTAACTGAACTTCATTTAATGGAATTATTGGAGCTTGAGGTTTTAGAGCTTCCATGAAATTTACAAAAAATTAATCATACGCCATGTATGCCAATATATTTCTCCTTTTTAAATTGTCTGTCTTCCTTAATACTACTACTCGTTTTTAGTTATTTGGTTTTGAAAGGTTCAGAACTTAGTAGAATTACTATATTGTTTTAGAGTTTGCAAAATAAAATTATTCATACGCCATGTACGCCAACGTATATTACATTTTTAAAATCCATTTGTTCAATAAACAGCTTTCACTGTACTGAAATCGCTTCCGAATTTTTTCGGGGTTTTCTGGAATGCTAATAGCTCAGTTCTCGGATTCCTTCATTCTCTTGGAATCACCGGAACATCGGACAATCCGCTTGCAGCATTGGACTCGGATCTTCTGTGCCTCGTAGCCCTTTCTCATTACCATTGCAGGCACTTTGCGATTCAATGAACTGCGCAACTTAAACCTTAAACAATGTTGGCGACTGGTGACATGTTCGCTGTTGTTCTTGTCATGGGTTTTCCGACCTTTTCCCCGGTTTCGTGAAAATACTGGAGGTAGCAGGAGGGAAATTGGCACGGATACCGGAGAGCGACAACCTGAGGTTTTCCGCTGCTGTGTCGCCTGCTGTTGCTGCTGCTGGCTTTTAATGCTCCTGGCTGCAGTGTTTATACATTTTTATTGTTTTTGCACGCACTTGGCGATTAAATGGCGCAAGAGGACTGGCAGATGGGGCGGGACAAGAGGAGCATCCTTTCAATTTGTCTGCCTCGTGTCTGCGGGGGCACCTCAGCTGCCATTGAGTGCATTTTTAATGCTAATTATTTCCTTAATTACATTTTCACTTTAACAGCAGTGTCCATGCCCTGTTCCGCCCTCGTGCTTTTTTTTTTTTTTGCCCCCCACCATTTTTTTTTTTTTTTTTTTTTGGGTCCTGGCGCCTTTTAGCCGGTTTGTGTTTGTGTGTGTATATATATGTAGATATATCTGGGAAATAACATTTATTATTGCACTTACCCTGCGTCGTCTCGTTTATTTCGGGTATTTCGCATCTGGTCCCCTTGAAGCCCTTCGGACAGTGGCAAGTTATGGCGGCGTCGCCGATGTGCCTGCGAATGACGATCCGACAATAAGAAAATTGGGCCAGAAAAAGGGGGACAATAACATGCGAGTGGGCCAAAAAATAAATGTACAAGAGTAAATTCATAAATCGCCGGTCTTAATTCTGGCTTGTTTGGGGCTCAGAGCATTAAAATTTTCCTTTGAATACGAAAAAACATTGCATATTCGAGAGGCTTTTGTATGGGTAAGAGCTCTATAAGTGCTCGAAAAAACATACCCAGCTGGTGGTTACTTAATATCGGGAGAAGTCCTCTCCGAAAAGGCAATGAAACAATTTAGTTAGGATAAATAAATTAAAAGAAAATAAATTCCCTGAAAACCATGTTCACCGTTATAAACAATTATTGGAAAAGGAATAAAATTTGTGTGGCTGTCTTCCACTTTGTCGTTTTATTGATGCTTACATTTTATCGAAGCTCGAAGGAAGTTCGATTGATTTTCGCGGGCTCTTAAATTATTATGAGGACTTAAAAAAGCCTTTCCCATTGTTTAATGGCTTTCCTTTACTTGCAGAATTCGGCTTTGCGATGCAAATTTGGACAATTTACTTACTTGCAAGTGCCGCCGTTCTGGCAGACGTTCGTATGCAGGTCCTGGCACAGCGGTCCATGTCCGCAGTCGCTGCCACTGAAGCCGGGGAAGCAGGCGCATCCATATGAGCTGCAAGGACAAAGAGCGTAAAGGATATAAGTGGAAGGAAGCACGTTTCGAGTTCTGTTTGGCGATCTGGAGAGCAGTTTGGCCGGAACTGCTGGCAGGACCAGCGACAAGTTGTCACCGCGCAGGACTCGCACTTATCTGGACCCGAGATTGTGGCTGACTCATAAAAGTTTTATTGGACCCACTTGATGGGGGAGTTTTTTCTTCTTGATTTTTTTGAGAACGTGCCTAAGCTGAATTTGTAGTTATCCGGAGTATCGCCAACAGCATCATCATCAAATACAGATGCCGGGGTCAAGCACTCGGCTGGAGAATAATTTAAATATGTAAGCTGCCGGCTGCCAAGGTCATGGAATACAGAGAAATAGGCTGTCGCCAGGACATCCTTATTCCTTTATTCTTCAATTCGGTAGACACAAAAAACTGGGTTATTTATAAAAAACAAAAACTTCTGAGAACGCAAGGAGCACTCAATTGTTAATTTGGGTTCAATTCTGTCTCAATTTTCATCATATTTAAAGATAAAATCTGCTAAGGAATCCGTATAAAAATATTTAAGAAAGTATTTGAGTTTTAAATACTCAAAGGTATTAATTTCGACCAAGTCCTTTGCTTGAGGCACTTATTAATATATTCTTGTGACACTTAATATGAAGCTTAATTTTAATGAAAACAGCTTAAAATCCGTACATGCTGACTTCGTGGAAATTACAGTTTTTCTGCTGCCAAGGAAAGCCATTAAAGAAGGGCTCAGAAATATAATGAAATCCCTTGCCATGAAATCTCTTTTAAACGCAATTTTCACTGGAAAATGGCAGACATTTAAAATCACAGAACATAATTCACGCTTACAGCATTTTTGACAATTTAATTGGGCTCCCAGCTTGAGCGAATTTTCGGTCAGCTAAAAAAAACGTGTAACCATTTGTTCAAAATAATTGGGCATCCTTTGCCATTTGTTTTACCCCTTGTCGCTCGTTTTTCAGCTGGAATAGCAATTGTTATCCCGCTGTTTGTTAGTCATGCGTTGCTGACACACGTCAACCGAAATTAATTTTCCATTTCGACCCTTCTGTCCCATCCTTTTCTACTCCTGCTCACTTTTTGGCCAAAAAGGTCAGGTCCTGGAGCCCTCGAAAAGCGTGAAAAGCCAAAAGCAAAGCCGAGCTAAATCCACTTCCCTTGCTTGTCACTTCTTTCTGGATCTTGGCCATAATGCGTATCCAATGAAAGAAATTTCTAATTGATCTATTAGTACCATCTGCAGTGTACCGTCTCCACTATTACCATCAAACTCGCATCACTCTTGGGGTGAGGATTCATACCAGAAAGGAGGTTGAGGCGAAAAAAGTTTAGCGCCGTCGCTTTGTCAGACGGTCGAATAATCAAATGTTCCCCAGGGAGGAAAAGGGACAAAACAAAAAGTGACGAGAAAACTTTTCTGATGGCCGTAAAACTTTTACTTTTATGCGAAATCTTGGTGCGGGCTGAAATAAGACGAAGCAAGACAATTTTTGAGTTGAAAATTTCATTGGTGACCGCAATTATGCAAAGTATTTGTATTTCGCTCTAGACAAAATTCCATGCAAGTCCTGGCTGACCACCTACCACCATATATATTATGAACAAGGAGCAGTTTATCATTCGCACATGGATATACCAGCAGCATGCTTAGTTTTGCGAAGCCGCCCCTTTGTTAGGCTTACACACTGACCTACACACTGCCAGGACCTGCTCTTGTTACATAAGAATGCTGTGGTCCTGTTCGCCAGCCATTGTACGGCGGAAATTAATTGCCTTGTGTTTTGACATCTGCGATGCTCACAACTCCGTGCTGCCTATTTATCGCCATCGTTTCGTGTCGTGCCTTCTGCGACGGAAGCGTTTTTCCCAGACAACCCACACACGATGTACTTGGCTTTATTTTGCAGCGTGGAAAATTCTATTTATAAAAGAAAATCTTACAACTTGACTGAAATTGAGTAAATAAAAGAGGGAAACGTATATAAAGTTACTTGTGAGGCATAACTTTTGTCTTTAGATTTTCATCAATAATTAATTAAACGCTGTGAGCCCTTGAAAATGTATTTTGATTTACCAAGGTGCGGTTAATTATTAAAAAGTGAACTTCGAGTAACCCAAGACAGCACTCATTATTTATTTAAAAACTTTTAAGCTTGTTTCTAATTTAATTTTTGCTTAAGAAACATTTTCAAGTTGACGTAGAGAAAAGGGCTCAATCATATATCTCTCTTACACATCTCGTACTGTTTTTAAACAAAAATCCGTCCAAAAGAAAATCTCCTTTGCAACCTTAAAGTTTACTCATCAACGGCTATTCGTAAGGATCAACCAGCAGGGAAAAAAAAAAAGAAAACGCAGGAACATTTCCGCTGAAGCTCTGGCACTAAACCTTCTTCATTTCAATGAAGCGGGCTTTGCATTTTTTACGAATCGCCGAAAATCACCTGCAGCTGGTTTTTGGGCCGTGTGTTCGCAAGTTTTGGTAGGTTTTTTCCTTTTTTTTTTAACTCTTTGTATTTTTTGCATAATTCTGTGTATTTTGCGACATGTGCACTTCGAATGTTTTTTTACACAAAAAGTATTTGGCACAGAAAGTTTTATTTTTTTGGCTTTTTATTTGTGCTGCCGGCCCTTTGTTTTAAATAAAAATTAAATGTGCTGCTGCTGCGCATACGGAAGGCATGTGTTACTCGCACATTCCACTGGCGGTGAGTAGATAGATTCCGGTCAGATCCCAGGGCATGGCATTGTTTTGACTGCTCTTGGCAATCCAATTTTGCGCATTTTAAATTCATTCAAATTCGGAAAGCCGAACAATTAAAATCGCTTGCCAAAAATCTGCAGCAACTTTATGGGACTGCACTCGAAAAACTGCTGACAACGCGAGCAGGGGAAATGCTTGACTGCATTTGCGAAATGACGTTGGGGCGAATGGCTCAATGGATATGGCTAACCCAAAATACATACACGCATATGGCCGCCATGAATATGTCATATGAGTCGCCAAAAGTTGCCCCCGGGTTTTGATACCCGTTGTTTTATGGAATAAGGGGTATATGGTATTTGGGGAAAGCTTAAGTTATATTATTATATTTTAACCCGATTTCTTTCACTACTTTAAATATTTTATAGCAGTCTTGTTGAATTCATTTATCTTAGATCAAGAGTGCGATTTGAGTGCCAGGTATTCCTTGGTCGTTACACTCATATTTCACACTCTTTCTTCTCAGATCCCGGATCTCCGGAGTTGGGTTACTTAGTTGCGAGACGCTGCCCGGGATTCTGACAGATTTTTGACAAAAAGCCAAAGTGCATGGAAGGAAAATATGAGCATTCATACATGCAAGAAGGCATAATGGCCTAGGGAAAGCTTTAAACCCAATACCATTCTTGGCCGAGCTCCTTCTACAATCTCTCTCTCCCTCCTCCAGATTGAATTGCTTTCGTAAAGAAGAGCAAATAATTAAAAAACGCAGCAATCGAATCAAAGCCCAATGAATTTTCACTCTCGCATTTAATTCCACTTTAAATGACGTGTGTATTCGAGTGTGTGTATATATAGTACCATATATATGACTGGGGCCGCGTGCGATGGAAACGCAATGAAATTACAACAAATTGCTTTTTTCTTGCCGGTGGCACGTGGAGCCGTAAAAGGAAGCGGTTGAACAAGAAAATAAAGAAAAAAAATAGACAAGAAAAGGCTGAAATGTTGGCAATTACTTTTTCACCCATTCGCCTAATGCAATAAAATTTAATTTGATGGTCGTATGTGAAAAGGTGACTGCGCGGGCAAGGGTTTTGCGGCCGCCATTTCACCGCTCAGCAGTCGTAAAACACAAAAGGATGTTTAATATGAAATATATATATATAAAAGCGTGCTTTTTTCTATTTGCATTTTTATGGTTTTGTTATTTTACATACACTTTTTTTTTAGATATTGACTAGGCCAACTTATTTAGTTGGAAAGGGGTGTCCTTTTAATTAAGATAGCTTTTTTATCTGATTTTTTACGACATAAATTGTGTAAGGTTCTACGTTAAACTTAAAGACTTCAAGTTGCAACGCAAAAGTTTATATCACCTTCCCTTGTTTTATATTATATTTCGAAACTTTCAAAATAAGTAATAACATCTCCTGTTCAGGCGAAAAGCCCAATTTGCGGTAAAGGTGCCTTCCATGTCATTGCAAGACAGGAAAATTAAAAGGACCGAATTGCCACAACATTGGGCTGAAAAAGTTTTAATTGAGCGAGCGAGCGGCATATGCTCGGCATCAGGCGTCGCCTGCATCGTCCTTTCAATGTGAGAAATTTCGGGACCAAACAAAACTTAATTGCAATATGCAAAGCTTGGACTCTGGCAGTCGGGAACTGGAGCAGCTTCCCTGGGCCCCCAGGTCGTAGACTTTGGATAAATGACAATGTTTGACATGGCAAACAATGCACGAGGCGCACGCAGCCGAATCGCAATGACACTGACACAATTGCCACATGGCGGCAACCCACTTGCATGTGCAGCGGTCACGACGGTGCATGGGTGCATCAGTGCATCAGTGCATCCTCATTCGTACCCACTCCCACACAGGCACACAGTGGGCCCTGTCCTTCGTCTCCCTGCTCCCGCCCTCGCAGCCTGATCTCATTTGGCGCTGACATTCTGTTTGCTCAGCAGCAGCTTTGCTTTTTGTTATTAAAGCTGAAACAGGAGCAGAATCCACAGGCGACGGCCAGCCACATTGATTGTCAGTCCGGAAAATACAGGAGCGGATCTAGATTTTAGTAACTGGCTTGGTTTCGTATATTATATTATATTCATTTGCCTCTTTTAAAAATAAAAGAGATTATGTAAGTATATTTTTAAATATAATTTAAATTAGTTAAATAACTGGAAAATAGTTAAATCTGAGCATCGAATAATTCTGAATAAGCTTAAGCTCTCCTTTCTTATTAAGAACTCGTGTAAAACAGTTTAAAAACCTATTTTTACTTAAGAATCCTTATCCCTTAAGTTGACCCCTGACTCGAAAATGAAACTCTAAAGTTTTGTATCCTTAATTCAGAGGGGGGCTCTAGACCCAATACTGTCCCATTTTTTGTGGAACGCCGCCTGGCTGTGGCCTAATTCCAAGTCGATGTCATTGCCGCTGGTGCAGCGCTCCTTCTGGTTCTTGTTTACCGAGGCTGGGCAAAAAGGTTACCCAATCAGTTGGCTGGGGATTGGGTTTTACAGCCTCTTTTACATTTTTGGGGTCCTCAAATATACATTGTTGTGTTTTTAGAGCGAAAGTCTGGCGGCAGACCGAGCTAGTCGAGCCAGTTTCTAATATATACTATGCGTAATGCAAACGGAGGGCACTTTTTTTCGTTTCGTTTCGTTTCGGTTCTCTCATCAACTGTGAATACATTCTGGCACTCGGCTTCACTGTTGCAAGCTTGAGGGGAAAATACTCATAGATTAAATTACTGAATCGGTTCGATAAAGGAAAGGCCAGGCCAGGCCAGGCCAGAACAGGCCCCTTTGACGACGGACCCTCAAAGCGAAAAAGTTTTTCAATTAAGCGTTTGTTAATGAAAATATAGAGAGGCGCCGAAAGCGGCCTGCGAAAAGGGAAAGAAAAGCAAAAGTAAGGGCCCAAAAATGGCTTAAAAACGGAAAAAGTATTTAAAATATATAAATTGGTTACTGCTCTGTTGAGCTTTGCGGTGAAGTGCAACAGATTTTCATTGGCCGGCAGCAAATTGATGGACGCTCGAGCAGCAAATAAATGCATAAAAATGCTACCAGAAATGCATTCAGTCAGGCGAAATAAATGCAGGATGCAAAAGGAGGCAAAAGGAAGGGGTACGAAAACGAAACAGAACGAAAGCGAGCATAGTGGCTGGCAAGGACAGCAGGTCCTTGCTGGCTTCTGGCCAATTGTTTATGGCTTATTGTTTCTGCTCTCTGGCATTTGCGGCAAAACTTGGAAGCGCTTTTCCCAAAGTTTCTGGCTGCAGTTCGCAGCTCAACAGCATTTTGAATATTTTACACAAGTTTATTGGCAATTAAATAGGGTTAGTGGTCGTCGACATTAATGAGCTTGGGGCGGTACTGGGTGGCGATTCCACAAATAAATGGCCATCAGTAAATTAAATAAATTAAACCAAACAATGTGCCACAGAAATGACAAGAGGAAAAGATTAAATTTTAGCCTCTTTTTTCGTAACAGTCTTTCATCAGCTATAAGCTTGGCAACACTTGACACTTTTTACTTTACGCATGCGAAGAAGCTTATTAAAATGCTAACACACAAACAGTTGAGGCCAAAAGTATAGCGGTTTGAATTTAAAATGAGCTTAAAGATAGTAAGCAATGTTTAGGTATCCCTTAAATTTATAAACTAAGCTTAGAGTTTGAAATAGTAAGTAGTTTCAGGACTAAATAGTTCTTGCAATCCTCACCAGTACTTCCTCTCCTGACTGATTTGTATAAGAATTCGTGCCCCAACTAATCAAAGTTAAAAGAAAGCTTATTAACCAGTTGTATAGTTTGTTAAAATAAAATATTTGTTATAATAATAACAACCTTTTACTTTTAGCACTATTTTTTGATCCCCAACTGTAGACACATACTGACACTGTAGCCATCACGGAGTGGCGCTCCCAGCAAGTACAACAGTGGCGCAAAAAATTAATAAGCAGGGGAGGACTAAGCATACGCACTGGGTGCCACATAAAGTGGCAGGAAAGTCGCTCCGCCCCGCGCTTTTATCATCTATTTAGCATTCTCCGATGCTATGCATTTTTCGCACATTAACTTAACAAAGGAGATGCTGAAAACGAGTGCCATAAACGAGGATGCAGTGGGAGATTGAGCTGCCAGGCAGTGGGGTCCTGCAGGGGGCTTCCCCCGCCAGTCTCATCTTTAGAGTTGGGGTGGCATTTGACAACATGAGCATGACTGTTTCGTTGTTTATACGAGCTCGAGTACGAGTACTACGCAGCAGCTGTGATGCCTTGGCTGTGACACAAGTCACTTGACAACCCCGCACATTTCACTCGCTCCATCGTGCACTGAGAGAGATTTGGGGGGCTGTGTGTGGAGTAGGTCGGTTCGTGCCACACTTCGTTATCTGAGGCACGTAGGGAACGGAATGGAACGGGCCTTTGCTCATTTGCCTCCAGTTGGTAATTAAGTTACGGGCCGCTACGTGGCAGGCGCGAAATTTTATATATATTTTCAGGGGCACGGGAGCACTCTCTCTTTTGGCCGATGCAACTTCTCTAGTTCAGCTGTCACTTTTATATTAATTTCTCCAACCCCTCCGGTAAAACATTTCACTCTCGTTTCGACGTTGATATTAATATTCAATTAGCGCGGCCAAATGCGCGGCCTTGGGCCTTCAGTTGGCCAATTAATAATAATTATGTTAAGTAGGCGTCAAAGTTGCAACTTGGAGCTGCCAAAAGTTTTTGCGCAATTAATTTGATTTGTTTAACCTCCAGCGGGGTCACTGTCCCGCGTCCTGTTTACGCGTTAATTTCCCTAAAATGGTCTATTTGCCGACATTCGACTTTTTAATTGGATAACAATTGAAAATGTAATTAAATTCGGTCCGAGGCAAGGCTTTTCCTCGGGGCTTTTTCAGATTTATATGCTCCCCCTCTCTCTGCATTGGGCAGGCACTCCTCAATTAATCAAACCAGCAAAAAAAAAAAAAAGAGAAATACGAAACCCACGTCCACGACTTGTCACGGCATTGTACCGCAAGTCCTCGCCGTCGAGCTTGTCAAACTCAATTGCGGAGCTTATTCATAAAACCCACTCACTACCTGGATTTTTGCCGGCTGCCAGGGAAAATGCATCAAGCACACCGCTTTCCTTTTGACTTTCAACTTTTAGCGTGTGTATGCATACGTTTTGTACTTTTCTTTTCACTGACACGGGTTGCCATCCGTATCCGTCCATTGTCTGGCCCGGGACGAGGGCGGGATGCTTGTTTTCGGGCGCTCCACTTATTGAAAGATTACAAATGTATGACTCCCACTTGGTTTAGGTTGAGAGAGCCTTGAACCCCGCGTGCTCGACTCCTCCAATCCCGGCCCGAATGCAAAGCCCTTCCAGTGGAGCAACTTTACCAAAAGGGGCGAAAAGATTGATGTGCGAGCAGTTAACAGTTTCATCGGTTAGGTTACCTGCCGGTGATTTTCCGTGTGCTCGGATTTTGTCAGAACCGAACTGCGCTCTGGAAACCATGTGAATCTCGGGTCCGTTCTCAACCATTTTCACTTTCCCTTGCCATATTTTCCAAAAGGGTCGATGGGAGCCGTAAAAGTTTTTGCCGGCGCTTAAATATTCTACATGCTCCGGAGTCCGGACGCAGGTGCTCTTTGCCCACGGGAACTCAGCGTTGCAGACTGCCGGATCGCTTGAGTAGTTGAACTCAGAGCTTCCAAAAAAAGGGGCAATAAATGTTTGCAAAATACATCCCAGTCCTGGGTAGTTCATTTGGCAGCCAGTTATTAATTGCATTTTCAAAATGTTGAACAAACTTTTTCGAATGTCAAGCGATTTGTAAGTGATATATGTTTTTGGAGTTCAGAAAATTAATTAGGTTCTTTGGCAATGATACCTAAAAACTATTCTTTTATGATCTACCTTTTTAAAATAAACTCAGCTTTATTGTATTATTTATTATCGTTATTATCTTATATTTACTATAGGCTCATAGACTCACCTATAATCAGCAGTGGCATAGCAATCACCCAGGAAGCGGCACTGCAGGGCATTGCACTGCGACGTCTTCACCTCGTTCTGCACCTCGTAGGTAATATTGAACCCATAGACGTCCAGCAGGCGGTCCAGTGCCCGCAGATGGGTGCCATCCAACGTGGCCATCGTGAAGCGTATCTCCAGATACTGGCTGTGGAACTGCACCCACGTGGCCTGGGTGACATCGTCCTCGGTGAGCGTGAATACGCGATGGGCGGGCACCTTGAAGTCGTCGGAGTAGTACATGTACTCCGTAAACTTCAGACCGCTCAGCACATACAGCTGGGTCAGGTACACCACAATGGAGACATTCTGGCCCGTGGAAGGCAGATCGGAGGCATCGATTATCCAGACGCACTCGATTGGCGTGCCGAACCGGTGTGGGAAGTTGGGCGTCTGTATCACACCATGCCGCGCCCGCAGCATTCCGCCGCATCCTGAACTGCCTGCTCCGCTGGATGATGAGGAGGAGGGACCAGAAGAGTGGCCACCGGAGGAGGACTCTGCTCCGGCAAAGGCATTCAACGCAAAGTTATGCCCAGCTGCGGAGAAAGGCGGCGGCGGCGGCAGCGGAACGGCCGGCAGTTGGAACTTCTGATCCGCCACATGCTGCTGGTGGTTGACGGCGGCGACATCCGTCGTCTGGTGGGGCAGCACCGCCAGCGGCAGGAGCAGCAGCAGAATCAGCGGCAGGAGCCGGACGACGACGGTCATTGACCCGGCTTTGACTCCTCCAACTCCTGACTTATGAATGTTAGTATTTCTGCAGCCGGCAGATGGCCTATCATGCGCCAGGAGATCCGACGAGGACGTGGACTACTGCCGCGGCCCGGCAGTCACTCATTGACAGTTGGCCCATTTTTCGCGCAGGAACCTGCAAGTGGAGGAGTAAAAGAAAAAATAAGGGTGAAAAAGGAGAAAGATAAAGTCGAATTTTTAGTTAAAACCATTTTGACAGCTGTCGTTTGCATTTGAATAACTGCCGCCGGCTTTCCACGTTGGCGAGCCGTCGACTGTCAGCGGGAAAAAAGCAATTTGAAAATCCACTAAAGCGGCGAGCAGCTCGAGGAGCGCATCAATCATGGCTCCGTGGGCCATAAAACACAAACACAGCGCTCGCCGTCGCCGCTGCCGGCGAACATTTCTTTTCGGCCACCAAATTGTTTTTCCATATTTCCAGGATTCACTTTTTTCTAGCCCTAAGTGTATAGTTGAGGTCAAAAAAAGAGAGTTCAATTTTTTTTCGTAGCTCAATTCTGTCTATTACTCAAAATGGAGAAAGCTATTTTAGACATATCCAGAGATCACAGGAAACGCTACGGATTTGAAATCAATTGAATTTAAGTAAGTTCCGGGGGTTTGGGTTTGGAAAAAACCTACACCTAAGTTGTTGTCTTTATTTTATAGCTATATCTTTCCCTAAAAAATTGTGAATAACATTCAAAACTGTGGTTAAAAAACCATATATATTGCGTTGAATCCAGCAAAAGTCCTATTCCCGCTTTACCACTTCCAAAAGTAGTATATGTGAACTGTAAAAAATATATATCCATATACATTTCACTCAAAACTCCAATAGCAATTGCTAGTATATTGACAGCAGCTGTGCACTCGCTATCCTTTTGACTCTCTGATTCAGTTGGCTGTCGCAACCGACACGGGTTAATAAATATGCTTGCCACTCGGACCGGCCAAAGCCAAACAGGAATGCAATCAAAACTAATCAAATTCAAATAGATGTGACCGCGCTGCCACAGCTATGCAAACACACAGGCTATATAGTAATTAGGACGGGCTAATCGGATAAGTAAAAACTTGGGCAAAGCAAATCAAAATGCGGATTGCCACAAACCGTAGACAAGTTGTCAACAATTCCAGGCAAATGCCGCTGCCGGGGATCTGAATGCATAAATTATTTCGTATTCATAGTGTGTACACTGGGCTCTCTTTCTGTCCCTGTGTGTGTGTATGTGGTTAATAAGATTATGCAATAGAACTTCCTGCTGTGCCAGGAAATACCCGGACACACATATACTACACCCGTAGTATGTAGCAATTTATGTTTCTTCGGGCCCAAATGAGTCCGCACCGTCGACTACCGACTTTAAAGTGATGGCCTGACAAACTTTTGGCATCCGCTTCTGCTTTTCTTTCCGCTGCGAGGGTGTGGGTGTGTGGGTGTGTGTGTGTTAACAAGTTTAATCAAACGACAACGTCTGGAGATACGTGCATACTTTTAGGCGCAGCCCTCGAGCAGCATATGAGCACGTAGAAGGCCGCGGGGCTTGCTCGAATGTGGCCGAAGTCGAGGGTGAAAATGAGTTTTACTTTGAAATTGCTTTAGTTACGCATTTAAGGCATAATGAATAAAAACTCCGACGCCTTAAGTCGCGAACTTTGCATCTATCCGCACAACGCCCGGAGAATTCTAATTTGCGATGCCACAGCTCTGGTGATTCGGCAACCCATTTGATTTAAATTTTGTATTTTGCATAAGGAAAAAGGTTAGTGCTTTAATAATAATAAAAATGCAGTCAATTATTTATAATAATTTTTAAAAATAGTATGTAGCCAAAATGGTGTCATATTTGTCTTTTGAGGTAAATTTGCAAGGATAATTGATTACCTAAGGAGGGTTAAAAAAAAAGTACTTTTTAAAGTGTGGAATAAGTTGTATGTTTTTGAACTCTATCCTGTGGTTCTGTATCCTCAAAAGACCTATTTTCCGGATCTAATACCCTCTAACCAGACATTTCTTTAAACGAAAAGAAAAGGGAAAAGATCATAGGGAAGGATGGTTTGGATGTAGGCCAAAATACGATTTTTAAGGTTGTGAAAGCCAAAATATAATCTTTAAAAATGTAGCTTAAGATTCTACCCCAAAAGAGGTTACTAACCATATGTCAACCCTTACAAATTGATTACCTAGGGTTAGCAAGTATTAGAAAACAATTTTTAGAAGCTACTTACTAGCCAAGCCCCCCTCCTAGTGCGACTCCCATGTGCTTTGGGGCCAAAAGACCTTTAGTGCCGCGTTAACAGTGACGCCCGGCATACCCAACACTTCTCCATAGATAAGGCGCTAGGCAGGCACTCGACTCCAACTGATACCGATAAACATAAAGCTAGGCGGCAGTCGCCGTCGCAGTCGCTGTAGACGGCGCTGCTGGCGTCGGAGTCGGCGTTACCGCGTCGAGCAAATTGCCAATTTAAATTGGCCGCGTTAAATTAGTCGAGTTATCAGCCTCCACGGCGGCAGGTGTGCGGAAGGTATAAACGGATCGGCGTGGCTCTCACCGAAGTACTCAAACCCCCTCCCCCCAGGCACCACCGGGGCAGCCTTGGGGCTCCGCAGTCAAAGTGATTCCGAAGTGATTCAGACCCGAAATGGCCTACATGCGGCGGAAGTTGTTACGTGCGATCTTGTTAAATGACCAAAACGTTGTGGTTTTTTAGGAAGTTCGAATAGCACGATATATGTATTCCCAAAAAATTCCAGGCCATTACCAAGTGTCCAAGTGTCCAGTGAATTAGTGACATGCCAGTTCGGCGTGAACGGCTCAAGTGGTCGGCGGAAAAGTGAATTTCAAGTGTTTCAAATGAGAAATATAGTGAAATATCCATATTATTTCCATTCCAAAAGTTATTTCCATTCATTTTGACAAATTGAAAGTCAACAAAATATATCAATCATCTTGAAGTTCCCTGATATTGATATCTAATCAAAAGATATGGCTGACATATTCTCAAACAACTTCGGGGAAACATTTGAGTGTTTTAGTGAAAAATAACGCATGCGTCAGACCATTAAAATAATTCGTTGTTGTTTTTTAATCTTTTTTTGTTTAAGGGTTATGGTCAAACATACATTTCCTAAAAGTTTTTGGAAATTACGTGAACTTTACCTTTGTGCGGCCATAAAAAAACCAAAAAAAAAAAAAACGCTTATCGGAGAGAACCCCGTAAAGTTCCCTTGGACAAAAACAGTCGTCAACTTTATGTTAGATCAATAAACGAAATCAAAACCAACGGAGAAGAAAGAAATCAGGCAATAACTTCATTATGAAATGCAATGAAATACCAGCATTAAAAGCCAGCGAGGAACAACAAGTAAAGAAGAGGAAAAGTGTGCTGATAACTGCAAACGAAAATGTCAATAAATTAATATAAATGAGTGAGTGACTCGTGACTGGCGGCTCTGGCCATTCTCTAGGGCCTTTCTCCGGTCGTTGTTGCTACTCTTTTTGCTTTTTGTATTTTGTTTAAAAAGCGAATCATGGCTGGGAAAGCAAAACACAAACCAGCGGGGACCCGGAGTTCTTTATTTTCCGATTGCTCGGTCCGTTATCGGCCAATCGTATAAGGAAATACAATACAATTCGCTGTTGATATACCGTACATACTAGTATATAGAAGTGTATATAAGTGTGTAATTTTTGAGACCAGCAAATTTGTTAATATTCCAAGCCGCGGGCATTCGGCAATCCCCTAGCATTGTTGCCGTTCTTTGGGGCGGCCGTTCAAGGCATTTGTTTTAGAGCTTTTGGCCAAACAATGAAAATCCCCCCGCATAAATAGAAAACAATTAGGCATTTGAGACGATAAGAGGCCCCAATGATAAAAGCCAGCAAGCACTCTGACTCATCCGGAGGAGCTGGTGCCACTTTTGCTCTGAGGCGGTAATTAAGGCAGCCCGTTTCTCTGGCCGGCATCGTTTTTGAACTTTGAAACTTTTGTTCGCCAACAAACAAATTTATCAGATGCAAAGCAAATGCTGCCTTCACTTTCTGGGACAGTTGATAAACGGATGTGGTCAACCCAGAATTTAGAGCGCCACTCCCAGATCCTTTTGTTTTGTGTTGCCAAACTGAAGGCTGGTGGCTTTGATGGCAAGCACAATCTCCGGCTGGTTGGTTTATCGAGTGCAAGTTTCTAGTTTTCTCTGAAAGAGGGTTTTAAGCCTCACGAAAAGTCATCTACAGCTTCAAGTACTTTTTAAACATTTTCGGAAACTGATTAAGTTAACTTAATAAGATATTATTGTATTGACTAAACTCAAAGCAATAATGTCTTCAAATTTCTAAATATTTGAATTTGAGTTTTGAAATTTTCACTTGTTAACAACATTCAATGTGAAATTTTCTTTATATTTTAAAGAGTACAAATTTGTATTTGTATTTCTAAAAAAAAAACAACGACAACAAGCCTGATAATGCCGATAAGATTTTTTTCTTAAAATCTATAAAAAAGACTTTCCCCCTCTATAGACGAAGCTAATCAACTTAAAGCAAATGAGTATTCAATGTACCGAAGTAAATCGAAATAATAGTCGAAGCATACATAATCCGCGACAATTGCAACCGAACACAACAAATTTATAGCCGCAATTAAATCCTCGACCATAAATCACGGAATATGGCCGGGGCAATCAAAGTGTTTAACCCACACGCATCGGCAGCCGCAGCCAACGATTTGAGATAAAAGAGAGCGCGAACCCCTAACCACGGCCAATATAGCAATTGCCTTATATATCTACATATATCCACAAGGAACTACACACAAGGATACATATCCTTAGGCGACAATATGGCCTGCTTTCCCCGACTTTTCCATCATCGCAGTAAAAACAAATTTACCCCCGCCCAAGATGAGAACACCGATACGATACTCAACACACAAGATAGCCCCGTGGTGAGTTCCGCGTGCCACAGATCACGCTCTGGTATTGCACTTGTCTGATAAGTCCCGCTGATAAGTTCATCAAGTGCTTAATTAAGTTAATCGGGGCGGCGAGAAAAAACCATAAATAATGTGTAGCGAAACAGAAAATAAAGTGCAAATAATTGGTTTGGTTACGACATGGAAGGTACTCTGTGATAAATGTTTGTGAATATTTAATTGAAGCAATAAATGATGGTATTTGTCGCGGGGAACCCCAGAAATAGAAGTGGGTTTAGGCTTTACATTTGTATACTAAGAATTTGTTGAGAAACCTATATAAATGATATTAATTTTAAAGCCTATTTCCTATTTAAATTTACTTGATTAAAGGAAAATGAGAGCACTAGAGTTTTACAAACCCTAAAAAGCTTAACGAATGCCATACAATATTTTATTTAATTAGGTAAAAAAAATTTAGAATATGTTTGTTTCTAACTGACTTACTAACCCATATATATCTTTTGTTTTCCTCTTGTTTATTTACAACCGAAAATAACCTTGTCCCCCCTGGATATAGGGTATTGAATCACGCTAAAATGCCTTTGGAGCGAAACCTTGTTTCCCTTATCATTAATTTTTTCTGCCCATGACGTTCACTTTTTAACAGGCTTATCTCACCAGGCACAAAAAACTGGGGAAAAAACACGAGTGCAGAATCTTTAATGCCCATTGATTCCCACATATGTTTGTATGTAATATATTTTTTCATTTATTACTGGAAAAATAATATGGTAGATGGGTGCAAAAAACCAAAGATATTGTTATTTTTGTTACAATAACCTTGTTGTTTGTATTTCCCCCATTCAAAGAATATTTTTTGATTGATGAAAGACAGGAAACCTTGTGCCATATAGCAGAATCGCATAAACACACATATATTTGCATATTATTCTCTCTACAAATTGGTCACATGGCCACATGAAAACTTATCGAAACTAGTTCAATCTGCACGGCACTTGACTTTCTGCAATCTTGGCGTTTCATCAATAACAAACATTCTGCGAAGAGTCGTCGCTGGTATTAGATATGCAAAAATATGATAAGCATGCATATAAATAGGTGTGGGAAAAACAGAAGTAGCTGAGAGTCATACTCCCGAACTCATGCATAAATCCAGAAGGGAAATCTGTGCTGTGAGTGCGAGCAGCTTGCAGCCGGAGAGCTCCAAATGACGTATAAATATGCAGGATCCGTCGGATGTCCCGGCTATCTGTAGGAACATCTGTATGTGTGCGTACATCTGACATGGTTCTAGGCGCGGGAACGACATTGAACGTGATTGCACGCACCAGCTTACACGTCACAGTAATTCTAAATAACTGCGGGACGTTCGGGGCCAAAGCCGTTAGAAAAGCAAACGCCCTTCGGCGAGGAATGCTGGAAATGGCTTAGACTGGAAGAACGAGTGTACACTGTAAGGAAAAGGTGTTAATATCAAATGTAGAACAGCATAGCAAAAAAAATGTCATATCAATAAGCTTGTTTTAAATGTTAGAAATATCCAACAACTATTTTGATTCTCTTCAAGGGGATATAGAATATATCGAAGTTAATAAAATATAGTTAAACCTTTTTCATACATTTAAAAATCGTATTATTCTATGTGCACTAAAGACGTTCTTCGAAATCCAAGAAGCCCTTTCATTTCCATCTTCCCAAGAAAAAAAAATGCCGCCTTCAAGTGCAGGCTGGGCGGGCGTCAACCTTATCGCTGACTTTATCGCCAAAAACAGAATTCGGCGCTTCCGTGGGAAAACGGAAAACCTGTCAAAATGCCGTCGTTTAGGTCGATTAGCATATCAAAGCCGAGCCAGCCAGGCGACTCGCAAATTGACACGTGTTTATTTATGCCTGCACTAGGCCCCCAAAACAGGTCTGAATATTTCATTAGGGCCCACGCCAATTGAAAGATAAGATGTGAGAGCTTTCCCCATGGGTGAGCTCAAAATATGTATGGCAAAACTTTTAAACGGGGTGGAAAATTAAAAACAAAAAACCTAAAAAAAAACAAGAAAGAAAGCTAACTTTGGCCAGCCAAAGTTTGTATACCCTTGCAGGTAACAATTAAAATATATCATAACTAAGCCAAAAATGCATTTATTTCGATTCGGAAAGCAGTTTTGTGTTAGTTTTTGTTAATTTAAAAAAACTGCATACCAAATTTAAAATTTTAAGAAATCAAAAATTTTGGCCATTTCAGCTAGTTTTAATGATGTAACCCCTTATCAAATTTCGCAAAAATGGCCAAATTATCGATTTCTTCCGGACATGTCTAGAATGATTCGCATGTTAATGCTGATCAAGAATATATATGTTTTATGGGGTCGGAAATGATTCCTTGACTTGGAAAAATATTATTTTGTATTATAAAATCTGATTTTTATACCCTTGCAGGGTATTATAATTTCAGTCAGAAGTTTGCAACGCAGTGAAGGAGACGTTTCCGACCCTATAAAGTATATATATTCTTGATCAGCATCAACAGCCGAGTCGATCTAGCCATGTCCGTCTGTCCGTCTGTCCGTCTGTCCATCTGTCCGTCTGTCCGTCTGTCCGTCTGTCCGTCTGTCTGTTTCTACGCAAACTAGTCCCTCAGTTTTAAAGCTATCTGAATGAAACTTTGTATAGGGTCTTCTATATACTCTCACTGCTATATATGTCAGAACGGGCCGGATCGGACGACTATATCATATAGCTCCCATACAAATGTTCGATAAATTTTTAGAAAAAAAATTATAACTTAGCTGTTTTTCAACATTTTTGCACCATTTTTTAGATATGGCCATTTTATATTATCCGAAAAGTGCTTGTCAAACTGTAAAAGTTGAATCTCACTTGGACCAGTGCTTCTCAAACTGTAATCTGAACTTCCGCCTAAAAGATGCCACGTTTTTAATAGAAAACCCCAAAAGTATGCTTTAATTTTTTAATAATGCTAATGAGCATCACAGATGCAAGTGAGCAAAATTTTTCATTCAATTTGGCCGCTTTCCAGACTGGGGTAACAGGCGAACAGAAACCAGCAGCAAGCAACTGAAAACTGGTATAAACTGTTATAAAAACTTTTGGGCAAATATAATAATTGGTATAAACTGTTATATTTCATTTTATGCATTTATACCTATTTGTTGCCGACAACAACAGCTTGATGGCAACAACAACCCCTTTACAACAACATCCCTGCAGCAGTCCATACAAATTTCTGAAATTTTCCATGCAAATTGCCCGTTTCCCAAATTGGGATAACAGGCGAACAGAAACCAGCAGCAAGCAACTGAAAACTGGTATAAACTGTTATAAAAAGTCCAAGTTTCGAACCATTGATCTTGGAGTAAGCGAAGACTCAAACCAGATGTGACCATATTGTACATTTTTTGGCTAAAATGTTGCTTAAATGCACCTGGGCACACTGAATCTGACTTTGCATCAGTGATGCTCATCTATCTATTTTGTCCCAATAAAGAAATATAGCTAGATGGGCATCACTGCTATTACGCCTGATATATTGCCTCCCAATATTGCAAAATAGCTACATGAGCATCACTGATGCAAAGTCTGATTTTACAGCCTCCCAATATTGCAATATAGCCAGATGAGCATCACTGCCATTAAGCCCGATTTTATAGCCTCCCAATATTGCAATATAGCTAGATGAGCATCACTGATGCAGATGAGCATCACTGATGCAGATGAGCATCACTGATGGAAGTGAGCATCACTGATGGAAGTGAGCATCACTGATGGAAGTGAGCATCACTGATGGAAGTGAGCATCACTGATGGAAGTGAGCATCACTGATGGAAGTAAGCATCACTGATGGAAGTGAGCATCACTGATGGAAGTGAGCATCACTGATGGAAGTGAGCATCACTGATGGAAGTGAGCATCACTGAAGGAATTGAGCATCACTGATGGAAGTGAGCATCACTGATGGAGATGAGCATCACTGATGCAAGTGAGCAAATTTTTTCATTCGATTTGGCCGCTTTCCAAACTGGGGTAACAGGCGAACAGAAACCAGCAGCAAGCAACTGAAAACTGGTATAAACTGTTATAAAAACATTTGGGCAAAAATAATAATTGGTATAAACTGTTATATTTCATTTTATGCATTTATACCTATTTGTTGCCGACAACAACAGCTTATGGCAACAACAACCTTTTTACAACAACATCCCTACAGCAGCCAATCCAAATTTCCGAACATTTCCATGCAAATTGCCCGTTTCCCAAATTGGGGTAACAGGCGAACAGAAATCAGCAGCAAGCAACTGAAAACTGGTATAAACTGTTATAAAAAGTCCAAGTTTCAAACCATTTCGGAGCCGGCTGAAGTAAGCGGAGACTCAAACCTTTTGAATCCAAATTTAGGTGTTATTTTACAACTGCACCTGGGCACACTGAAACTGATCGTCGTTAAATTCAAATTTGACAGTTAAATTCAAATTCAAATTTGGCAGTTAAAATATTTAAAAAAATTTTTTAAATTCTAAAAAAATTTTAAAAATCTAAAAAAATAAGTTAAAATATTAGAAAAAAATTTTAAATCTAATTTGAGACATGAGCTTCTGGTATTTTATCAGAATTTTGGTATAAATTTTATGAAAATCGGACGACTATATCTTATAGCTGCCATAGGAACGATAGGGAAAGTAATAGACAAAATTATAACTTCGTTGTTTTTCAACGTATTTTCATTTACTTTAAGACATGAGCTTATTTCAGAATTTTGGTAACAATATTATGAAAATCGGACAACTATATCATATAGCTGCCATAGAAGCGATCCGTAGATGTAGAGAAAATGTAAAGCTGGGAATGTATAACTGTAACTTTCAAACTGTAAACATAATAAGTATAGGTAAAATGTTATGAAACTCTGTTTAGTGTCTGTTTTCGGCATTATAATTTATGATATAAATATGAAAACCAATCTGCAAGGGTATACAAACTTCGGCGAGCCGAAGTTAGCTTCCTTTCTTGTTTTATATTAAAAAACTACATGATTTTTTTTTTAATTAAAAATATCATAACTCGGCCAAAAGAGCATTAATTTCAAATCGGAAAACTGTTCTGTGCAAGATTTTCTACAGTTAATAAATCTGCATACTTCATTTAAAAATTTTGAAAATTCAATTTTTTATCAAAATCAAAAATTTTAATGATGTAACCCCTTATAAAATTTTGCAAAAATGGACAAAAAATCGATTTCTTCCTGACATATCTAGAAAGATTTCCCTGTGGATGCTGATCAACAATATATATGGTTTATGGGGTCGGAAACGTCTCCTTCACTGCGTTGCAAACATCTGACTGAAATTATAATACCCTGCAAGGGTATAATAAAACGAACCTACCGCAATATTCCCCAAACAAGCTGTGTGCTTTCCGAGGCTATAAGGTCGATGAGAAAATACACTTTCTTATTTATATTTTAAATATAATAAATTATGAAATAATAATTAACTGGCAAAGTAGTTTCTAATGTCCTTGAAATGTTTATAAAAGGTATTAGAAAAGAAACCATATATGCATTTTCAAGTAATTTTATATGCCATAAATATTCCCTGCATCCCTCATAAATATTTATATGACATTATTATCTATATTTCCTTTTTTAAATTCAAAGCAAAAATATCTTAACTTCACACCACACTCTTAGTGTCAGTCACTTTTGACTAGAATGCAAATCAGAAAGCCAAGATTGAATAATAAGTTGGTTGCACACACTAAAATACCTATGTATATTTATGGAAATTCGTGAGATTTGCTCAAAGCCTGACTATCATCGCCAGTTTAAGCCAATCAATCTAGGAATAGTGGCCAGGAAATCCTCAACTGACGTGTTGAAAAGGCCAAACAAAAAAAGGACAGAAAACGGAAACTTCAGGGAACATAAAATAGGGAGAATAAAGCCCAGTATTTAAGGGACAAAATGGCAATGCAAATTCCTTGTTCGGTTGCCGGCTTAATGGAGGGTTACATTGACAATGGCAGCAGATCCAGAGATTGGTCAAAATAAGCCTTGGTAAGAGGTGTTAAGCATCAAATTATTTTTATGGGAAATGGAATGTACAGGAAAATCAAATCAGATATCAAAGATTAAGTGCCAAACTAACAAGTGACTAATAGCCTGATTTTCCAAGCATTTATTTCGTTTTCTTGAATTTACTTGTGTGAATTTACATTTGTGGAAAATGTAAAAACTGATTCTACTTATTTTGAGACTACGAAAGAAGCTAGTAATATATTAAAAATAACCTATAATGAAATTAAGATAAATAGAAAAAGGACGGTAAATAGTAAACTTATCATATTTTAGTGCTAAATCATAAATTGTATTACTAACTGTTGACTAAAACCTGGCCTCTTTCCTTTTCAACTAGCAAATTGGCCTGTACATTCGCCGCGAGGAAAAGCCACTGTACTCCCCCATAGTGACGCCCAGTGCCAGCGAGGTGAGTTACCGCGGAGCAACTTGCTCCACTCTGGCCTGTTCGTACGCTCTTTGCGGCACTCGACTAATATTTGCACACATGCTTGTATGTTTCTTATACTTTCAAACGATTCGCGCTGTACACAATAATATCGGCACAAAACACTTGTAAATATATACACACTGTCGACAACGCCTCCAATGTCCACCGAACACCGAACACTCAACTCTCAACACTCAACACTCGAAACTCAACACTGAACACCCAACACCCAATGCCGAAACTTTTGCACCGCTTTGTTTGTCTTGGTAAATGTTTGGTGCTGTTCCGGCCTCCAGGCCCAACTGCAACGGCTGAGACAGCAGCCCGCCTCCGTCTCCGTGGGCACCACCGCCTCCGCATCCCTGCTGGCATCTCCTTCGCAGCTGCAGCCGGTTGCCGAGAATGGCAGTGCAAACAATGGCCTGTTCCTCTCGAACAGGATCAGGCTGCAGCAGAAGGAGGAGAATGCGGCCTCTGTCAACGGCAACGCAATTAATGTCAAACGCTCAAATTCAAAATTAAAACCAGTCAAAGAGCGGCGACCCACCGCCCTGCCCTCCGAGGTGCCTAGCATCGAAGTGGAAGAGGTCCAGGAGGTGGGTGCTAATGCACATGCCTATGATGTCGTGGATGGCGGCAAGTCAAAACTCAAAGTGAATGAGAATGGCATAATTGATGAGGGCGGCACCGATGATGGTGATGGGGCCTTCGCCACAACACCTGGCACGGAGACAGAGTCCGAGGCGCCCGTAAAGTTTTTCATTGGTCACACGCAGGAACTAAGCGCCCACCAAACAGATGACACCTTGTCCTGCCAGAGCGGTGATACCAACAACAATAACAACTGCAGCAATAGCAGCAGCGAGGCCAAGCTGACAAATGGTTTCCTGCCACAGGAGCGACGGGAACAGGACAGTAACAGTAACGGCAACAGGAACAAGAGTCTCCACCTCGAGGCTCCGCCCCTTCGTGCCAAGAGCTCTAGCAATGTGTCACTCAATTATCCCCAGGCCAAGAGCCAGCCGGCAGACAGTCACCGTCGTCGACGTGTGTCCACGATGCCCGATATTAACATACCGCCGGCACCGCCGATGCCTCCGGAGCTCCTTGTGCCCGGCACACCGCTCCACTTGCGCAAGAAGCGGAGCGTGGAGCGTCCTGCACAGGACGAGCAAGCGGCGAATGCTGCGAATAATCAAGTAAGTAATGAGAGGGTGTGTGTCCTGCCAGATGACAGGACCGGCAACTGGCCAGAACTTTGCGGCTTTCGCACCATTTCCTCGACTATCAGTTAGTAGTGAGAAAGTGGCCAAGGGTTCTGGCTATCTATTATCAGTTAGTAAATAGGAGAGGTGCTGTAGCTAGTAAATGCTATCAATTCCTGATACTCTTTAAAAATTTTAATTTGAATTAAGTACTTTATTTATTTTAAAACTTTTAACCAGTCACCGTCACAACCAAAACTTTTTTGACTAAAAATCTAAATTAATTTTAGGAAGAACAATAACATTTGAAAAACTAAATTATATTGCATTTACATTTATTCACTAAATGTTGTTGTTGTCTGATTTATTTTCTAACCGCAATATAAATCTAGGTTGATAGGGTTTAACGAGAATGTAAATAAGTTGTAAGTATAATAAATGGTGTTCTCTTAATGCCTTTTTGTGAAACTTAAGATGAGGTTGGTTTAAACATATAAACCAAATACTTTATGGCCCTTAAGTGACTTTTTTTCTAAATAAATCAAAAACTTTACAATCTCTCTGCGACAGTCGAGATAGAAGTTTTTAAATTGGCAAACTGACTTTAAAGCAGCTTTAATATAGAATATTCCTCTTGCCTGTCTTATAATTAGGATTAAAAATAAATTAAAATATATTTAATTAAACGCGACAAGTTTTGTCTACAGATTTAAGGAAAGATCAGGGACAATCACAAGCCATGTGTCGAATAGCCACAATCTCCCACACTCTGTGTGTTTAGGGCAACTTTTATGTGAGAGTCAACGTACGTATCTAATGTTCCCCTACCCTCTTAACCTTATATTGCCCGGGGGCTCTCACAGAGAAAATGAAACTGGCAACAGCTGCTGACAATTGTACCGTGCGCTCGGCACACTTGTAAAAACAAGTTGAATGTTAATTGTTCGCCAACAGACACGAACTAAAACTTTCTCCCGAGCAAATAATGCCGTTCCCCCTGCCACTACTGCCACTGCTTGGATCTGCTCTGGGATATATCTGCTGCATTGGCAGAGTCTGTGGCTAATCAGCCCTTAGCCGGCTGGCTTCCGGCACGGAATCTGTTGCTGATTCAGCGAAATGGGCTTCTTACGGCGGAGTTTTCAAGACCATATGCCCGAACTGCTGCCTGAAAGCGTTTATTTTCAGGTACTGTTTGTGGCTAGTTGCGCTCTTAGCCGAAACGGCAAATGCATGTAATGGCACTGGGATTGCCCATAGAGGTTAATGGTAAAGAATTTGAGATTGGGAAATTTAAAGATCGAAACTTTAGGGAAAACTAAGCCTAGTCTTAATTCACTTGAAACCATTTAAATCCGTCTTCAAACGGCTTGCAATCTCAGCTCTTATCAACCAAATAATAAGTATTATTTCCCTTTCTGTATATCTTTTGTCTGGCAATTTCACACGAAAACTACCAGGATCAAATAGCAAGGCCCAAGGAGAGCGGCGGGGGGAGACGAGAGCAAGAGTGGAAAATCCAGCGATTCCTCGTCCCCGAAGGCCCAGCGCGTGGAAGGTGGCCTCATCCATGTCCGACCGAATTTCCCCATTCGAGGCGACATTGAAATCGAATTTATTGCCAAGGACGAAGTGTAAGTGAAGCAGAATTAGAGAGAAAGACAAACGAACGAGACGCGGTTATTACCCCATGAATCCGCTTCGCAGCACACGCAATCTCATACGAACGGCCATTGAGCGCAATGATTTCCTCAATAATCTAATGGACAAGGAGCGCAAGGAGATGGTTATCAATGCAATGGCCCCGGCGAGCTACAAGAAGCACAGCCTCATCATCCGGGAGCACGAGGATGGATCCGAGATATACGTGTCCGCGGAGGGTCAGTACGATGTTATCCGGGCGGGTCAGCTCGTGGGTAGCTTTGGTCCCGCAACGGTATTCGGTGAACTGGCCATCCTTTACAATGCCCCCCGCCAGGCCACCATCAAGGGTGAGTCCCGAATTTCACCCAATCTAAAAAGGAAAAGAAGTAGTTCATTCGGAACTTTATAGCCTCAACGGATGCACGCGTCTGGAAAATTGCCCGCGAAACCTTTAGGGCCATCATGCAAATCTCTGGGTCCAAGGAGCGCGAGGAGAACCTGCAGTTCCTGCGGTCAGCTCCTTTCTTGCAGGAGCTCGACCAGAGTCTGCTGCACAAGGTCGTAGATCTCCTGCAGAGGGTAATATATCAGCGGCCATGTCGAAGCCCTAAATCAGTACTAGCTTTTCCTTTGTCCCCCTAGAAATTCTACGAGACCGACACCTGTATTGTGCGCGAAGGCGAATTGGGCAACGAGTTCTACATCATCCGCTGCGGAACTGTGACCATAAAGAAGCAGGACGAACAGAAGCTGGAACAGATTGTGGCCAAGCGGAAGCGGGGCGACTACTTTGGCGAGCAGGCGCTGCTCAATGCGGACGTGAGGCAGGCCAGTGTGTATGCCGATGCCCCGGGTACCGAGGTTCTCGTACTGGACAGAGAGTGAGTTCCACAGAAAGGAACTTCCGTTACCCTAAATAATTTTTAAAATATTCGTTTTAGAGCCTTCATTAGCTATTTGGGCACAATCAAGCAGCTGCGCGAAAAACCCAGTCAGCGGAGTGACACCAGCGGAAGAAGCAGCAACAAATCCCTGGAATTCGATAACGAATACTCCCAGGTGGCCATTTCGGAGCTGAAGAAGATCGCCACTCTGGGCTGCGGAGCCTTTGGACGCGTCGACCTGGTGTCCTACAACCAGAAGGCATTGGCCCTGAAGATAATCAAGAAAATCGAGGTGGTCAAGCAGGATCAAATAGAGCACGTTTACAACGAGAAGAACGTAATGAATAAGTGCCGGCACTCGCCCTTCATAGTAGAGTAGGTCGTAACTCAACCCTAGCGCTGACTCGCCACGCTTAAATATAATTTCATTGCAGGCTATATCGCACGTACCGCAATGACAAATACGTTTACTTCCTAATGGAGGCCTGCATGGGCGGTGATGTGTGGACGGTGATGTCAAAGCGCCAGTACTTCGACGAGAAGACTGCCAAATTTATTGCCGGCTGCGTCGTCGAAGCGTTCGACTACCTGCACTCGCACCAGTTCATCTACAGAGACTTAAAGCCGGAGAACCTGATGCTGGGCACGGATGGTTACTGCAAATTGGTATGGATTAAGAAAGGGGTTTCCAGCTTTGTTGCAGAAGCTCTAGCTTTAATAATTTACTTGCCAGGTGGACTTTGGGTTTGCCAAGTTTGTGCGACAGAACGAGAAGACCAACACCTTTGCCGGCACCCCAGAGTACGTGGCCCCTGAAATTATCCTGGATCGTGGACATGATCGTGCCGTGGACTACTGGGCCCTGGGCATTCTGATATTCGAGCTGCTTGTTGGTAAAACCCCCTTCCGCGGCGTCAATCAAATTAAGATCTACCAGCAAATCCTCAGTGGCATTGATGTCATACACATGCCCTCGCGGATCCCCAAGTCTGCCCAGCACCTGGTCAAGCATCTCTGCAAGCAGCTGCCGGCGGAGCGGCTGGGTTACCAGCGCAAGGGAATCGCAGACATCAAGCGGCACAGCTGGTTCGAGAGCCTGGACTGGCAGCAGCTGAAGACCAAGCAGTTGACTTCCCCCATTAAGAGACCTCTAAAGAGTTGGAGCGATCTGCAGTACTTTGGGCCGTCGGGCGTGGAGAATGACTACGAGCCGCCGGAGGAGTTGAGCGGCTGGGACAAAGACTTTTGAAGGGATGGAAATTATGAAAACTTGGGTAAATCTTCAGATATTAGTTATATTAATCTGGACATAAGAACTTGGGCCCTTAAAAACCCCGCGTAGCAGCCATAACAATCTTGCATTAATTGAAAGCTTTGAAAATACTTTATTAAGTCTGTACCCATATGTTGTTGTATTTTTTATTATATTGTAAAAAGTTATATATTAGATATAGCCATAAGTTGAAGATAGCCTAGATTTTGTATGCGATTTACTAAACATGAACAACTATACCCTTTAACCAGGCTGAACCATACCTGTAGTAGAAAAGCAATTTCGAACTTACGAACTTTTTTAGAAGAAACTTATAAATTATTTGTAAAAGTATCCTGTAATAAATTAACAATTTATTAACTGTTTAAACACTTCTACTTCTTAAAATACTACCATGGTTTCACTGACATTATCCGAACTATGACCGAAAACTGGTCTTTCAAAGGCAAACAAGCAGATTCAATTAAGCTCTCTTTCTCCGAAATTTCTTCACTCTTTGTTTAGCCCACAAAGTAGCAAAACACAAGACAACTTTGTATCTAGGAGGTGCAACCTGGCACCAGGGGAACTCCAGGTACATTTATGCGGTTCCCCCAGTTGGCCAGGGTAACTTGTTGTGACGTTTATCGTTGAATGGCAGAATGGGTGAGAGAATGCCTGACAGAATGGCTTTCATCGAAGCCATCAATATCAGCAACAGTTCTTTGTCTTGGCCTTTATCATGCATAACGTCTTTATTGTCTTACATGAAGCTGTTGTGTTAAATTTTCCATTCAGTGAAATGTCAAACGAGCCGACAAAGCAATATGAACTAGGTTATGAGGAAATTGCATTTCCATTGAGAGATCTTAAATATGCGGTTCGGTGGTGCCTTAATTACCCAAAGAATTGATTGTAACAATGGCTCTCAAATAAACTATAAAGTAATATAATTTATTTTCTTTTGAAACCGTGTACGTTTGTCGCTAGAAGCTCTCAGACCGGATTTAAAACTTTCCAGACCCGCCCAGACCCTAGGACCAATCAATTGACATTCCGTTCAGTAATGCGGCGAAAAATTCAATTCAATTTGAGCTACGCATACAGAAGTTGAAATAAGCCAAGCCAACAACATGGTTAATCAATAATTTAGTACGAGGGCCGCCTTGGCGAATTGGTCAAAGGACGAGAGTAGGGTGCCATTCAAGGAAGCGGAGCGGAGCCCTTTTTCGCTGTAGACATTCGCACTCATTTAACAATTTTACGCTTCGTTTAAGAAACGTAAGAGGGATTGGCTGGGGCCAGTGAAGAGTTTTCTTTGATTCCCTGGAATTCTCTATACATATATATATTATATTTTTTTGCGGCCCCAAAACTTTGTGGGGAAATAAAAAGGCATTTGCATGGCTTTCTTAGTTAACCTTTTTCAACCGGGAACCGCCATCATTGCTGGAAAAACTAAGCGGCGGTTTCCCAGCTACGCCGAGCTTTCCCACTTTTCCTGGGCATTGACGGTTGAGCGCGCACAGTTTCCCAACGGAAATGATGACATTTCGTCTAACTTTGTCGCCGCGGTGTGCAGTCGCATAGAAATGCTGGAGGTGTCTAAGAAATGGCACATTTCATGCGGCATCGTTGAAATGAAAATTTTCACATTGCGGCGACGGCGACGGAAATTGTTGAAATGTTTCTCGGTTGTACGGTTCCTGCGTATTTTTTTTTTGGCTTGCTGGTAGCTGCCGCAAAATTGGAATTGTGGCCAAATGTTGTCGCCATCGCCTTTATTGATTTCCCCCACATACACTTACGGGTATTTTATTCGCTTTTTTCGCCCCGTTTTCCACTCCGGTTTGCTTTGCGGCTTTTTGCGTCGGAAGGAAGGTAGCAAAATGTTATTATCAATTATCATTTATTATTGCGGGGCATTTTTTCGCTTGGCCGGTTATATTTTCCTTTCCTTTGTTGCCATTTCCGTGAGACTCTTTATTTCTGTGTCTTATTATTCTAGAGAGAGAGAAAGAGGAAGCTCTGATCGATGATGGTGTTTTTGCGGCTTATTGGGGGGATATTGGCCACTGGTAGCATATTGTGTGGAGCCTTTGATTGCTGATTGAATTGTCTTATACTCTCCGCCTGCCTGTAGAGTAGTCCATGAATGTCCTTAGTCGAATTTAAATGTGTTTTGATTTCTATGTGCTTGCTTTTACTTTTCCTGTTCAACACACACTGAAACGAGTGTAGGCTGGCCTAGAATTCCTGCGAAACTTTTGCAATTCACCGAAACTCTGTTCCTAAAAATAAATAAACATATGACATGTTTTCGCCCAAATTGTTTAATGTTGTTCCATCAACTGTGCTGTACAAGGGTCTTGTATATTAAAGTGTATGTGTGTAGAAAAGGATTCTCTTTTCCCTAATTTAAAACCCAAGCTGGGTACAAAAACAGCGGATCTAATATATGCATGGCAATACACGACGATGACGACAACAGCTGCTGAACAAATTTCTATTGCTCCTCATACACGGACGTCTATTTATGAAAGTCCCTTGGAACCCATAGACCATAGAAATGCAAATTGTATGACAGCCTTTTCCGAGCTTGGCTTTAAACAAAAATTAGACCCTAATCAATGTAACTATTGTTTACTTTATATATGTATGTATATAAGGCATCTGGCGGAAGGGAAAAACTTGTGTTTAGCTGCCGACGACGGATATCTTGTATATTTTTTGTATTTTTCTGGGATGGAACTCGATTTATCTTGGAACACTTTTGACTTGGTAAATATTGTTTAGGCTACTAAGCAAAGGTTATCCGAAAAGCTGACCCAATTTATCAAGGCGGATTTTAGTTAAACAGGGAACACTCGAAAGAGTAAAATTTACAAGAGCTTGGTTTTATTAAGAGTAACATATATATGAAAAATCAACCTATTTAATTTGACGAATTTTAGAGTATTCTTTAAAAAGTATAAAAGGTTGTTTCTCATATTGCAAAGTCATTGGTATTCCTGACTTTCTGTGTTTGCAACTAAAAACCATTGGAAATTCTAGTATAACACAAGTAAGCTAATTAATCGGTCCCTTGTGTGCTTTTAGACTGTACATATTGCAGTCAGAAAGCTAATAAATACAAAAATGAACAAAGTGAATACGAGAAACATTAAAGTTATTATATAAATATATTCTTAAGGTAAGAGAACCCAATTGTTTACTATTCTTGTTAAAGAAAGTAAAAAAGATAACTTAAACGCTATCAAAGTCACAAGATCATAATGTAAACATTCAGGAAGCTGGAAAATAATCATACTTCAAACGACACTCATCGTTGGGAGTAACCCCTTTGTCAGGACTAAACAAATCGACACTGTCATTTCGCCTATAAAGCATACATTCATTCCCCAAATGAGCCAAGTCGTTGACCATTTTCCGTTCGCAAAACATGGACAAACAGTCGCACTTACTAGTGATCACCATGGGTGCAATTAGGATTTGAGTGTTCAATAACGATTTACACAAAGGCCCCGCCTGGCCCCGACCCCAACCCCGAGCCTCTGGCCAAGAGAGGTCTCCAAGGGAACACAGAACCGAGAACACAGTGGTGTACGTGGGCCGAACAAATAAGCTTTAAAATGTTACAATTCGAACGAATCGAACAAATGGCAATGCAAAAGTTGGCCCGGCACGTATGGATTTGTATTTGGCAACAAGAGTAGCAATTATACGGGGCAGGAGGCCGGAGGAGCTCGCAGGACACAGAGCAGCATCCACAGACGCACTCCCCGAGCCAATCTAATCAGCTTCGGTCGAAAAGAATCTGTTTACAATATTGACAATTTCGTTCGGGTGCGCCGGGCTCGGACCTAAAACTAGAGGTTGAATCAAAAAGTTTATTTTTATGCTGGGTAAAAAGTTAAATTTGCATATTTTTTTCAAAGCCACTTGTCCTTTTTTTTTGAGAAGCCTCTCCTTGCTGTTAGCCAATTTGTGGCCAAGATGCGGAGATGCCGGGCTACCGGGTTGGTAAGTAAGGGTGGCCCGGCCACATAAACACTTCTGTGCTGAATGCTATGAATAAATAATGAGCTTTGTCTTCTCTAAAGCTCCTGGAGTGGAGTGATGGTCCTTGCACTGCATACTTTTAGCACTGGCCACCGGGCAATGGGCTTATGCAATATTTGTGGGTCATTTAAGCAGCTTCTGTGCATTACGTAGGGCACCGAAATATACATCCTGCACTGAGCCGAGAGCGCTGTCTATTAAATGCCAATAAATCACAGGCAGAGGCACAAGGCGTTGTGTCATAAAAACCTCAAAAATATCTATGCAAACGCAAACATATGTTTACATTTGTTCAAGCCAAAATCACATTACCTCGTCGTGCTCTCTGGCTGAAATCAAATTATGTTATTTTCCTGAGCGGGCCCAAAGTATGCAAATATTTGTTAAGCCCAAACATTTGATGCGCCAACCTCTTGCCACTCGACTCGACATACGGAATACAGAAGGCAGCTACAGCCACAATGAGGTAGCCGGGACAAAAAGGTCGTTAGATTGTTAACAAGTTCATAAAAAGACGCTGGCATACACACACACAATAATATGTAGGTAAAGCAAGGGCGGCGAAGGACGGTGGTGCAGGGTCCTTAGCCAGGACTGCCTAAATACTATACGACGCGTCTCGCTGCGTATTTACAGAGCACTTTTTCCGTTTCAGCTGCTGCTACTGCTTTTCGAGGATAAAGCAGCAACAAAAATGCAAACAAATGTACACTGAGAAAAAGACAAATACCTAAGGGTTCTAAAAAGGTTAATATTTATTCCTTATTAAAAATTGTTTTATTTTCAATATTACAGCATTTACTGCAACCTTAATGTGTGAAATAACAAATATGGTTTCCTTATTTAAAAGGAACTAAAAATGTTCAGTGTATATCACTAAACACTTGAAGAGAGGAAGAGTGGAGGGGCCCGGACGACTACGAATATAAGCATGGGTGTGTGCACAACAACTGAACTAAGCACGAGAGTCTCTTGCTCCTGCTCCCGGCTCCTGGCTCCTGCGGTTGTTTGCATTAGGCAATTGATGTTTATTATTTCTGGGGGCGAGCTGGAGGATCGGCGCCACCGGGTAAAACCCCTTTCTACCCGACGCTTTATTTACCAGTGTTTACCAATTCAGCGCTGCATGGCGCATCGTGGCGAGCAACAGTTAAAGTGGCATTTGCATTGGCTTAAAGCAAATTAAAGCCTAATGAATGCCGCATGCAGATGCATTCGCGAATTGCGACAAATTCCTATATCGCCGCGGGCAGTTTTGGTCTTATTTAATAACCGGCTGGCCGGCAATTAAACCCAATTTGCGACCACAATGGAAATGGCTTTAAATT